GAGATTCGAGTCTCTCACAGAGAGACTGAATGAATAAAACTGAAAAATTGAGAGACTCGAGTCTCTCGTAGAAAGACTGGGATCTCTGAAATATGTTGAACTTAGAAAATTTTAACCATGTCTATCGAGACACCACTTATTGAGAGAATTTATAAATTTTGCATTGGTTCCCATTGAAAATCAATGGAAATTTTTCCTATGTAAATATTAATGGAATTATATTGTAAATGGAAACAATTATTTTTGAAGTTCAATGGGAATTTTTTCTACGGGGAATTATTGTAAATGGAAACTATTATTTTTCCATTTATGCCAAATGGTTTTGAATGGAATTTACAAATTTTCCATTAATTCCCATTGAATTTCAATGGAAATTTTTCTTACGGGATTCTAAAACATGAATGATTAGATTTAGAGACACATTAGAAGCAGGAACAGGAGTAAGGAGGGGCAGTTAATTTAGATTACCGTTTGTAAATAGTTCACATTTGGGATGTTCCAGGTTTCAGGATAGGGAAACAGTATTAGTACCTAATGCGTGTCCAACCATTCTTTGGACTAAGATGATAATGATATAGTGTAGTGTGATAGAGGTAAATTTCCTGTTCGTTGGTAAGTATATTTAACCCTTCAAGAGTAGAACAACAACCGTCGATTAATCATTTCGCGATTGCAAACAGAGCGGGGCAAATATCTCGAGCGTTCGTTCGTTGTTGTCGTGGCGCGTCCGTCGACAACGGCGACGCCGGTCGCTGCGCTCGCACAAGTCAACACTATAAACTTAATTCATCAAACGCTATTCCCGACGGCTTTTCCGCGATAACCCAAAACTGAGTAATGAACGATGTTCAGAACAACCAGCCCGACACTGTTTACCTTCCTTCCGCAACCACCAAATCAATCATATTAATGGCGCCGCCGCCTCTCTAAAATCCATAGTCAATATTAGACACACAATGCTACAATATATGCCATATAAACATATTAATACAATTAGCGGATTTAAAGACCTAAACAAGTCAATAGAAACAAGCTGTTGGCTTTTACTGGTGATGTGGAAAATCGATTAGCCGGTTATTGTTTCAGGATGTGTCGATTAATTACAATGATTATACTGAAAACGTATGCGTGTTTGATTGTAAAGAAACCTATTGCTTTTTTGACTGGTTTTAAATATTAAATTTTTAACGGGATTTGATTTCAACAGTCGTCCTACAATGACAAAAAATGACAGTTTTATTCAGCCTTGATTGTTGAAACAATTTGTTTGAAGATTACCTTGTGAACTAAACATAACTTGACAAATAGTTGCTTCGCGATATAATCAAATCCGGTCATACAGTGCGGATACAAAGGTCACAAAGTACGAGGGTGGATTGATAAGTTTCCGGCCTGACCAAGAAAAACAAGGTTTTTAAAAATTTTTTTTTTTTATTTCTCAACATAATCTCCTCCAAGGCTGATACATTTCTCATAGCGGTGTTCCAGTCTATTAATGCCATCTCTATAGACTGATTCGTCAAGCTCCTCAAAATAACCATTTACAGCTTCGATTACTTCTTCATTGTCCGCAAATCTCTTACCGCCAAGCCATTTTTTGAGATTAGGGAACAGAAAATAGTCACTCGGGGCTAGGTCTGGAGAGTAAGGAGGGTGCGGCATCAATTCAAACTTTAGATCGTTGATTTTAGCCGTCGCAACGATTGACGTGTGCGCTGGTGCGTTATCGTGATGAAACAAGATTTTTTTCTTCGCCAGATGAGGTCGTTTAATTTTCACCTCGTGGCTCAAACGTTGCAATAAGTCTGCGTAGTATTGACCAGTGATAGTATTACCCTTTGCAAGGTAATCAATGTATATAATACCTCTTGCATCCCAAAAAACAGTAGCCATAACCTTGTTCGCCGAAAAAATTGTTTTTGCCTTCTTTGGAGTTGGTTCCCCTGGTCCAATCCACTGTTTAGACTGTTCTTTGGTTTCAGGAGTGTAGTGGTGGACCCACGTTTCGTCAACGGTTACGAATCGACGCAAAAATTCGCTTGGATTACGCTTATACAATGACAAATTTGCGGTAGAAATGTTTTTTCGAATCAATTTTTGGTCGACTGTTAGCAAACGCGGCACCCATCTTGCACAGAGCTTTTCCATATGCAAATGTTGGTGCAAAATATGTTGCACACGTTCATATGACATCTTACAGGTCTCAGCTATCTCACGCACTTTCAATCTGCGGTCTCCCAGCACTATTTGATGAATTTTTTCGATCATATCTGGAGTTGTGACCTCAACGGGGCGTCCTGAGCGAGGCCCATCAGAGGTGCTCACACGACCCTTTTTAAACTCGGAAACCCACTGCTTAACGGTTGAATATGACGGGGAGGATGTCCCCAGTGTTGAGTCCATCTCTTTTTTAATTTCCTTCGGCGTTAACCCCTTCAAATAAAAGTATTTGATGACAGCACGATTTTCCTGCTTTTCCATTTTTACGAAAACCACAGAGGCGTCTTGTTCAGCGTGCTGTCAAACCTACACTAGCAAGGAGATCGGGCTGAAACTATAGCTACAAGCTATCCAAGGATGGTACTATAGAATGTCACCTCAAGGTAGGCCTAGTGGCGTCATCTCTTGGTTAGGCCGGAAACTTATCAATCCACCCTCGTATATAGTCGAGATCAGGTTGAAACATTAACGTAAAACAGCAAACATACATCTTATATGGGTAAAATACAATCATATATGCCTTAGACAAAAATTTTCAGTCTCTCTCGAGTCTTTCAGTCTTTCAGAGTCTTTCAGAGTCTTTCAGCGTCTCTGAGAGCGTCTCTCACAGTCTTTCACAATATTTCAGTTATTGCCTAGGTGTTTTTATGGATCTCTCACAGTGTCTGTATGAGAGACTCGAACGATAAAATTGTGAATTCAGAGATTCGAGTCTCTCACAAAGAGACTGAATGAATAAAACTGAAAAATTGAGAGACTCGAGTCTCTCGTAGAAAGACTGGGATCTCTGAGATATGTTGAACTTATCATGTCTATCGAGACACCACTTATTGAGAGATTCGAGTCTCTCGTTCAGAGATTGGATACGAAATAAAGATCTCTCTCTCGACAGTCTCTCTCAGCGACATCAGAGAGACTCGATGAGAGACGGAGACCCGAGTTTCGCTTTCAGAGACTCTGAGAGACTGAACATTTTATCTCAGGTGGGTATTATACATTATGGTAAACCTTTGAGATCGATTGCAAACATGAAGGAGGAAATTTGTAAGGATAATTTGATACAGTTTCTTGTTATGTCAAATCACAATTTACAATAATCTCGGCAATCACAATTTTGTTAACAGGTATTTTTGTTGTACTTGCATGACTTATCACAAATGAACACCTTCGAATTGATTGTTTAGTAAAAATAAGTTAGTGTCACATTTCTAATAAATTCTTAACAAGAATATTTATGTAATGACTAATATTCCTTTAATCATTTGGCATATACGTAAAATCAAAGTTTGAAAAATCGCAATAATGTACATTATAGCGTATTCTGCACATTTTACTTTCTTTATAACCAACACACACTGAACTACGAGATCATTTTTACTTACAGCGTAACCAGAATTGGTCCTAGAACCTTAGGCTTTAGCCCAAATATTTTATTATACATTTTACATAGAAGGTTGAAGGGGGACGGGGGTGTGTGTAGTGCCCACCTTACAAAATTCATTGCCCACTCTAAAATAGTTGGCAATACTAAATACATGAACATAATGTTTTTAATAAAGCATTTATCCATCTAATAACTGTTTTCATTATTTTTTTGGTGGCTTCTTTGTTTCTTCTTTAAATACCAATTTTCTATGACTAAAAGTCACTTTATTTTATGTAAATTTAACTGCATCGTAAGTCTCAACTATATCTACTGCAGGGTTTCTACATACTTATAGAGACAGTGAATGTTGTATATTAGTGTGAGGCATCACTTGAACATGTATCTCTCATTAAATTGATTCGTTACATCCAAAAGGTCCGTCAATTCCCAATGGGATTATCGAAATTAAAATGTTCCAGTGGATGATTAGTTGACCGGCTGACCCTCCCTTCGCCTTCCAAAGGAAAACTCCCTAGCTACTGTAATGTTTACATTGCGAAGGAAATTCAAGAATTAGAGACTCTATTTGAGATTATCTTATCTGATCTCTTATGGTGGGTGCTATATGCGTAAAAAAGTCATATGCCTATTATGAATTTCATAGAAATAGTTATGAAAGGGCAATTAAGATATTGATTTAGAGTTCACAAGAACTTTGCTTTTCTTGGTAAATACTTAATACAAATATTTTAAATGTATGACATTTATAGTAGAAAATATACATCAATTATTTAAATACACTGTAGAACCAATAATTTTTTAATTCTGTTACGAAACTTCCTTTGATTTGTGTTGTAGTTTTCTTTTGTTAGTTCCTTTCAAGATGCGTAATCAGTCAATAAGGAGCAACTTTTGACCTTTCCCTTGTAGGACCATCTGCGTCGTTCGTTGAATTGTTTGTATTCTAGCTTCGTACTGTTTAATAGCCCCTCTCAGTTTCTTTATATTTCTCATTAAGTTCATGTTCGCTTCTTCCACTTTCATAATTGATTCATTAGTTATTTGCTGTATTTGTTCAGTTTGCGCGTTAACGACGTTGATTTCAGCGGCAAGTTGTCTTCCAAATTCGGCCTCGTCTTCGACGCTCCTTTGGGTTTCAAGTAGCGCCTTCCTCATCTGTTCGTATATTTCAGTTTTCTCGGTGACACCGCCCCTCTTTCTGTTCTTCTCTATCTCTTCCAACGCTTTATCTCTCTTCTCCCTTTGCGCCCTGACGTCTAATAAAATCGAGTAGAACTGATCGCAAGCTTCTTTTGCTTCGTCTACCCATTTTTGTCCTTTCTCAGCTTCCTTGCGAAGTTCCCTTTTCATTTGTGAAACGATGCTTTCGTGCCGCTGTTGCATTCGTACGGCGATTTCTTCTTTCTCGTCGGAAAGTAGTTGGACAAACCTGTCCACCAATTTGGCTGGATAATACTGTTGCAACTGAGTCATGTGTTTCTTTGTAGGATCTTTGTTGATCGCAGCTTGCCACATCGCAGCGGGAAACGACACCTGATCTTCAGCACTCATTGAAAAATTGAAAAACGACTGAGGTAGTAATGATCGTTCGAGATCATCCAGGGCATCTTCCCGTTTTACTACCATTTGTTTTCTGGCGTGAACCCGTTCGTGTAATTTAAGTAGCAATTCGATCCGCTGTTGTTTCTCAGGGAGACTTTCTATGCAACCAAACTGGCCTGTATTAATTAGATTTTCTTTTAATTGTTCGATCATGTGGTTGACAGCTTTATTTTCGCAAGTCGTCACGACCCCGTCCAATTCGTCCGATATATTTCGTATTATTCCTTCATAAAATGCGATTACTCGTTTTATTTCTTCCGGATCTTTTCTTCGAGCTAATGCTGCTTCTAGATTAGATCTTGGTGGACATTTCTCTGCGAATTTCTGTTCGAACATCGCATCCAAAACGCCTTCGCCTCCGCCGAGCCATCTAGGTTCGTCATCTGCTAATGTCACAGCTAAATAAGCAAATGCTCCTTGACCATCTGGCATAGTACGGGTTGCCAAATAGGTTCGACCGTCATCTCTCCGATCTCCCTGTCCAAGCACAGAAGGATGAACACGTTTGATTTCGTTAAGCCATTCGGGCTCGGCTACTTCGGTTGCCGGGGGCCCAAAAACTTCAAGTGCGTTTGATATGTCCACCTCGTTTGGATGTTGTAAAAATGGACCTGTCAGTTTTCCTTCTTCAACGCAAAGAACCAATTGAGATAAATAAATGTTCCGATTTCGTTTCTGCTCGGTTCCTACGTGACGTTGACCGACTAGCTTTTGAAGCCATGCCTGGCATTGCTTGAACTCGTCTCCGTCGGAAAACTTATTGACCAGGCCGGTCGTGAAACCTAGGTAGAACAAGAAATCTTCGTCCAATTTATCTTCAATTTCCTTCGACATTCTTCATTTCGTTAACCAAAATTTTGTAACTGAAATTGTAATAAACTGACTAACTTAAAAAACGAAAAATTAATTTCATATGAACGATATAATTGATTTGTTTGTCAAAATTTTATGTCAAATTACTGATACTAAAAAATAAGAAAAAATAAATAGACAGTGTCACAGATACTTAATGTACCTATATGTTACCGGAAATGTTTGAAATTTAGGAATTGTATACAATTCCTAGGAAATATATGAAATTCCGATATTCTACTAGGAAATGTATAAAACTAATGCTTTTTGTTAATAATATACACTGTCAGCCCGCCTTCGGCATTAGATAAGTTCCAATCTGTCATAAATCTATCTAACCAAACAATGACGTCACCAATGCATTTGAATTTTAGTATGTTGTAGAGGTGAATATGCTGATCATTTTGATATATGTATATATATGTTGGGCGTGGAATTGATAATGAAGTATAGTTATGGAACGTTAAAAAACAATATTTGGCTGTCTATGACATAAAATAGACAATAGTACAGCAAGCTGCTTGGAGATGTATATGCATTGGTGACGTTATTGTTTGGTTAGGTGGATTTATGACAGATTGGAGTTTAATTAATGGGCTGACAGAGTGTTTTATTCACAGCAAGGATTAGTTTTATACCTTTCCTAGTACAGTATGGGAAATTCATAAAATTCCTAGGAAATGTATACATTTCCTAGGATATGTGTGTATTAAAAAATCTTTGAAACAATATTTTATACGTTTCCTAAATAGCCTCGGAATTGTAGATATTTTCTAGGAATTGTATATAATTCCTAGATTTCATACATTTCCAGTAACATATATGATTGTCCTAACTATCTGGCTTCCTTTATGTGCGTAATTCGCTACACATCATCTCCTTAGCTCAGGATGAACCAATGGACTAGTATTGTCAAATTAAAGGCCCTTGTTGCGTTAAAGGTTTATATTTTCAAAAACACAACACTATTTACAAAAACTTAATCTATAAACCTTAACCTACACATAACCCTGTTTATGTGCAGATTTCCCAAAATTATACTCCTTGAATTACAAACCCGATACGAGAGCGCCTACTCGTCTTGAAAGAAGCAAATGTCCTTCTCTTTCTGAAATTCTTTTCGAAAAACTGCCTTCCCTTCCTTGAACCTTTTTTTATTACCACTTGTTTTTAAGTTTCGATCTGCCTGCATATAACCCATAAAGTCCCAAAGAGAAAGTTAGCAGGTATAATCGCAGCCCTTCTAAATGTATATTTTGCAAAAAGGAGCAGACAACAGTTACATAGTTTTAAATTATTTTTTCTATGAAATCTGAACACTTTATATTTAATAATGGTTACTTCATCATTTTCTGAGGAATTAAACATTAAAAGCCAAAATTTTATGTAAAAATAACAACATGAGAATGTAATCACCAGTGAGACATTAAAGCTTGATGTAACTTATAAGTTTTGTAAATGTCTTTTTCCTCAATTGTAACTTTTAGCATTTATGGGCATATCACATACTTCAAACAAGTTAACAGAACTTCATCAAACATTTTTTGATTTTAACGAATTGTTGAACGTTGACTGAGCATTGAATGCTTTCTATTATATGCACCAAGAATTTTATATACAAATGCCAATGGCTTGAAATTTGAATTTGTATCGTCGGATGAATATTTTGTAACGGGGCGTTACTCAGAAATTATTTCGCAATGAACATTCATTATGTTAGTTAAGGTTCATTTGTGAGACTTGCAAGAACTAGTCTATTTTCGTAAATAAAAAATAAATGCATTCTATTGTATAAAACATTTGATATTTGATAATAATACTAAAAAAAATAGATACATCTTTTAACTATAAATGAGCACATTTAAAACATAATAAGTAGTCATTTCTATTTACGAGTCGACTCTCTTTTGGCTCTTGTGTTTTCTACAAAGCATGTTAAATCTTAAAACTACGTGGTGGAAAATGTACCTACGCATCTTCCTGAAACACATGACGCAATAATGCGCAAACCCTTCAACATGTTTTGCTTTTAATTTTACAGAAGTTCTGCTTGAAGTAATTTGATTCATCTTCATCATAAGGTCGTCAGTCCTAAGACTGGTTGGACACGTACCTCCACTCTTTCCTATCCTGAACTAATCTTCGCATTTCCCTAAAACTAGAACAGTCCACATCCTTAACTAATTGCGAACAGTAATTTAATTTAGGTCTACCTCTACCCCTCCTAACTCCTGTTTCTGTCTCTAATATGTCTCTGACTAGACCTTCATGCCTGAGAAGGAGTCCAACCAACCTATCTCGCCTATTTTTGACGTGACAACGAAAAAACATGACTCATGCGGCGTTACCTCGCTCTGAGGCGTTCCACTTAACGCGGAACGAGCGACAAAGAGGCACAATCGGTCTCCGCGTTCGGCAGCGTTCGACATCTGTCTTTCTCCTACTTGAGTGAGCGATGCGTCCGCGTGGACAGCTGCTATACAATAATACATTTACATGTTTTCGTCAAGTATGAAGTGCAGTGAAAAGTGAATGTGGTGTCAATTGTTTATAGCAACGATAATTGCGGCGATAAAGGTAATGATTCTTTCGATATTAAATATATGTTCAGTGATATATTGTCGAATTGAAGCTAGAGTTACAAAAATTTTAATGATGTTTAAANTTTTTGACGTGACAACGTCTTATAATTCGATGGAGCCGGCTGCACGCACGAAAAAACATGACTCATGCGGCGTTACCTCGCTCTGAGGCGTTCCATTTAAGGCTTGAAGTGCAAGCGAGAGCGCGGAACGAGCGACAAAGAAGCACAATCGGTCTCCGCGTTCGGCAGCGTTCGACATCTGTCTCTCTCCTACTCGAGTGAGCGATGAGTCCGCGTGGACAGCTGCTATACAATAATACATGTTTTCGTCAAGTATGAAGTCCAGTGAAAAGTGAATGTGGTGTCAAACCATTCCATCAGTATTTTCTTATGACGTTGTCACGTTCAACTATCGTCAGTAAACCGACTTTACAGACAACCAATTTTTTATTGACTTCGATAGAGTCCTCTGTTCTCCTATTCTTTCCAATACCTCTTCATTTCTAACCTTTTCTACCCACGAGATCCTCATCATCCGCCTATAACACCACATTTCGAATTTGATTCACCATACATATATTTTCATTACCTTAAACAAAATACGCTGATGCCTGCGTTTGCAACAAACTTTAGGTAGGTGCACGGTAAACACTCATATGGAAATTGAAATTGTTAGTGAGTTTTATTTCGTTAAAATGTTAAAAGCAAGTTAAAGAGCAATCGGTTCATGCATCGCGTAATATGTAATAAGAGTACGTAGTTAGAACTTCCCCTACACCTATAACTGGAACTAGAACTAAGATTCAGTTGAGTTACTTTCCTTTGACACTATTTAGGCCACATTTATACTTGGTCCTTACGCTCTTTTCATAAATATAAAACTTCAAAACAGAATATTAAAAGCATCTTTAATTAACACAGTTGCAGAGTTTGTATTACTTCATGATTTGTATGTGTTAATTTCTTGACCATTTTAGAAAATCTTCTGGAAAAGTGTGAGTTTTCTTTTCTTCGGCATCCTAGATCGGTTTTCCTTTTTAGATTTTTTCTTATTTGTCGGCTAACAGATAGTTGTAAAAAGACAGCAAATAAAATGAATATGTTACAATTATTGATATTGGTATTTAAATACTGAAAATATGCACTGTAAATGCATGCTTACATATTTCACTTTACGGGTGATAAAAACAAAGGGAATAATAAAGGCAATTCATTTATAATTATGAAATCTGATATCTTTGAGAAATAAATTAAAAGGAATTAATACCAGAAGTCTTCAAAGATCCAATTTTGGTCGATTAAAGTTTTCTTCGCATTCCTAAATATGTTAAAGTTAGTGATAATTTAGTTTATTTTACTTCACTACCGTCAAAATGGTGTAACTTGTATCATATTTTTCATATTTCAAGCAGGGTTGTCAATAATGCATTACCTTTTCTAATACATTACATAAATGGTTAATGCAGAAAATTTGCATTAGCCATTACTATTTACTATTCATAATCATCATAAGGTCGTCAGTCCTAAGACTGGTTGGACACGCACCTTCAGTCTTTCCTATCCTGAGCTAATCTTCGCATTTCCCCAAAACAACCCACATCGTTAACCATTTGCGAGCAGTAATCTAATCTAGGTCTACCGTTACTCCTCTTAACTACTGTCTCTGCCTCTAATATGTCTCTGACTAGACCTTCATGCCTGAGAATGTGTACCAACTTATCTCGCCTATTTTTATTGACTTTCATAGAGTCCTCTTCACCTATTTCTTCTAATACCCCGTCGATGTCCCCATCATTTCGCCTGTAACACCGCACATTTTAAACTCTTTTAACCTTTTCTTTCCCGCCGCGCCCATCGTCCATTTTTCGTACCTGTACATTGTCGCGCTCCTAACATACACATTTAACAATCTTTTTCGAATTTCTAAATTAACCGTTCGCGAAAATAGAAGTGACTTCTTTTTATTGAAGGCGGCACGACACTGCGCTATCCTCTGGTTTATATCCCTACTACTCCTTCAGTCCTGACTTATCTGACTTCCTACATACCTAAAATCAGCCATGTCTACTAATTTTTCGTCTCCTATCTTTATATTTGCTCTTTCCTTGCTCTTTCTTCGCTTGCATACAAGCATATATCATCTGCAAATCTGAGCATACTAATCTTTTGCCCCTGTATATCTATCTCTACAGTTGTATTGTTTTTAGTAATGTTAATTGCGTCTTGGATATATAGATTAAAAAGGAAAATTCTAAACACATTCATTGGTAACAAAAAAGTAATGGTTGATGTAAACAAATTATTTATATTAATATTTTTCTAACCCTGAGTTTAAGTGAGTTGACAGTACTATTGCTAACTTCAGCCATCACGTTTTGGATCAGTTCGTAGAAATATCTTAATAAATTTCACTGTGTGCGGTCGCAATGTTCTAAAGTTACACAGTGTACTTAAAAATAGGCAGTAGCATAAAAATCTGTCTATAAAGTAGAATTTGAGATTATATCAAAGCAAT